CACCACTCACAGCACCTGTCCCAGTCTCACTGGCTGACCCCTCCGGGGGCCCAGTAGTTGCGAGAGCCTCCACGGTCCTGCCTTGTCCAGCAGTCCCCTCCGGCTCTCTGTCAGGTCTCCACCTCCCCACGTTCTCGACGAACTTGGTGAGCAACGCTGCCATTCAGGATGTCTGGGTTGATACCTTTATTCCTGGAGGGCAGCGTGTGGCGATCTGTACGTGCTGGACTGGCCGTCACCTGGCTACGTTCACTCGACAGCCTGGGTCTAGTCTGTACACACTGACCACTGCGTCTGCACAGGTGGCTGAGTCAGGTCAGGTGGCTGCGTCGAGTCGGGCGTCTGCGTCGAGGCAGTTAGCTGCGTCTTGCTCGTGCACAGTACTCACGAACGAGACTCAGCACTGGCACCACCGTCTTGGTCACCCCTCCCTGCAGCGTCTACGCAGTATGCACTCCCGTCTCCTTGTCTCTGGCCTCCCCAGGACCCTGCCCCCCCTCCCGCGCTCAGTTGCGCCGCCGTGCCTTCCTTGTGTCAAGGGGCGGCAGCGCGCCGCTCCTCACTCCTCCGATTTTCCTCCGACCACTGCTCCTCTGCAGACTCTCCACCTGGACGTGTGGGGCCCGGCCCCAGTCGGTGGGACGGACCTGGAGCGCTACTTCCTGCTGGTTGTTGACGACTACACACGCTACACCACAGTCTTCCCCTTGCGTCGCAAGGCGGACGTCAGCGGTGTTTTGATCCGCTGGATCCGTGCTACTCGTCTCCAGCTGCACGAGCGCTTTCAGCAGGACTTCCCAGTCCTGCGTCTGCACTCTGACAGGGGTGGTGAGTTCTCCTCTAGCGTCCTTGAGACGTTCTGCCAGGATGAGGGCATCGCCCAGTCGTTCACGCTTCCGGCCTCTCCGCAGCAAAATGGGATCGCTGAGCGTCGCATTGGCCTGATCATGGAGGTTGCTCGTACCTCCATGATCCATGCGGCTGCTCCACATTTCCTGTGGCCGTTTGCGGTCCGATACGCCACGCATCAGCTCAACCTCTGGCCCCGTGTCTCTGCTCCAGAGACCTCGCCCACACTCCGTTGGACGGGACAGCCTGGTGATGCGTCGTCGTTTCGGGTCTGGGGCGCGCTCTCCCTTGTTCGCGATACCAAAGCGAGCAAGCTCTCTCCTCGCACTCTCCGCTGTGTCTTCCTGGGCTTCCCCACCGACGCTCCCTCTGGCAGTTCTACCACCCTGCCTCGCGTCGTGTTCTGTCCTCTCAGGACGTCACCTTCGACGAGTCAGTCTGTTACTACCGACTTCACCCACACGCGTCCCACCCGGTCCCCCTCGCGCCTCTCTTCCTGGTACCAGTCCCCCCCCCGGTAGACCCCCTTCCCCCACAGGGTCCTGCTCCCTCAGGTGTGTCTCAGGTAGACCCACCCCCCTTGGATGAGCCAGTGGAGATCTCTTCTGAATCCTCTGACCCAGCTGAGGGGGGTGACACCGCCGCCGACGACACGGCGACCACTCGCCGCACTCCTCACTTGGAGACCCCCCCGGGTTTCCCGCCTCGGCCGTCTTCGCCACCTCCGTAGCCTACTGCTGTGGACTCTGGAGCTGAGGCTGCTAGAGCTGGGCCTGGGAGTGGTACGTCTGGGGGTGACTGCTCTCCTCGTTTGGCTACCCCCCCCGGTTTCCCGCCTCTGCAGCCTTCTGCAGTGGACACTGGAGCTGAGACTGAGCGTACTGAGCCTGCGGGTGCTGGGACTGAGTGTACTGAGCCTGCGGGTGCTGGGACTGAGAGTACTGAGCCTGCGGGTGCTGGGACTGAGGGCACTGAGCCTGCGGGTGCTGGGACTGAGGGTACTGAGCCTGAGGGTACTGAGCTTGGGGGTACTGAGACTTTGGGTGCTGACTCTGGGGGTGCTGAGACTTCGGGTGCTGACTCTGGGGGTGCTGCGAGTCCTTCTGGAGGTCCTGGAGCTGGAGGTATAGGAGCTACTAGGCCTGGAGGTACTACTGGAGGTACTGGAGCTGCTGCTGGTGCTGGAGGTGCTAGAGCTGGGGGTACTAGAGGTGCTTCTGGTGCGGGAGGTGCTAGAGCTACCACTACTGGAGGTACTGGAGCTGGACAGCCACCGCAGCATGCTTTACTTGAGACGCTCTCGCCGCAGGCGATTCGTGCGTGGGTCGTCCGGCGAGGCAGTCCTGGTGGTGGAGGGTACGGTCCGGCTGGTGCTGGAGTTACTAGTCCAGGAGGTGCTGCTGGTGCTGGAGGTGCTGGAGGTACTACTGGAGGTACTAGAGGTACTGCTGGTGCTGGGGGTGCTGCTGGTGCTGGGGGTACTGGAGCTGCTGCTGGTGCTGGAGGTGCTGGAGGTGCTGACCCTGGAGGTGCTGGTGCTGGAGGTACTGGAGGTGCTGGAGCTACTGGTCCCGGAGGTGCTCGTACTGGAGGTGCTGGAGCTGCCGGAGTAGGTGGTGCTGCTGGTGCTGGAGGTGCTGGAGGTGCTACTTGAGCTGCTGGCACGGGAGGTACTGGAGGTACTACTGGTGCTGGAGGCGCTGGAGCTAGAGTTGGAGGCACTGGAGGTGCTGGAGGTACTACTGGTGCTCGAGGTGCTGGCGCTGTCGGAGCTCGTGGTGCTGGAGGTGCTGGTGCTACTGGTGCTGGAGGTGTTGCTGGGGGTACTGGAGGAGCTGCTCGTGCTGGAGGTATGGGAGCTACTGGTGCTCTTCGCCACCTTCTCAGTCTTCCTCCAGGTGCTACTGGCTTCCCTGTGGCAGGTACTACTCCTCCGTTGCTGTGTCCGCCAGTGGACAAGTCACAGCCACCGCTGCTACCACACTCCCCACTGCCTGCTCCTGCTCCTTACACTGCGGTGTTAGAGTCCCTGACTGAGCGTCGAGAGCCTGAGACTCGTGCTTCCACCCCTGAGCGTCGAGAGCCTGAGTCTAGCTTTGACCTTGAGCCTGAGCCTAGAGCTGCTGTCCGTGCTCGTGTTCCTCGTGTTCGTCGTCCGCGTGCTCCGGCTGTCCCCGGCACTCACGATATGACACTCCGTTCTTCCTCTGTTCCTCAGCGTGTTGTACTACCGTTACCTCCTGCGTCCTCTCTGCCTGACGTTGCTGACCCTCCGTCTGACCTTGCTCGTGCGTCCAGTCCGACTGTTACTCGCCTTCTTGCTACGGTTGTGACGGACCCTACGTTCTCGTCTCCTGCTGCGTCTGCCCTAGTAGCTGAGCTCGTTGACTTTGCTGCTGTGTACCGCCTAGACTACCTTGCGAGTCTTGTCTCTGACCCTGTCCCTGCCTGTCCTCCGTCCGTCGAGGGTGAGACTGCTCTTGGCTGTACTGCCCTTGGCTGTGACGTTCTTGAGGACAGACAGGAGGAGCTGGAGTGCCTTGCTGCCGCTTCACCCCATCACACGACCATGCTGCTTGCCCCTGAGGGAGACCCGGATGCACTTGACATCCCCACCCCGCGCTCCTACAGGGAGGCGATTTCGGCTGAGTACTCCTCTCAGTGGCAGACAGCCATGGACGCAGAGATGGCTTCCTGGAAGTCCACAGGCACCTACGTCAACGAGGTTCCCCCACCTGGGGCGAACATCGTCAGTGGCATGTGGATTTTCAGGGTGAAGCGGCCGCCGGGTTCTCCGCCTGCCTTCAAGGCACGTTACGTTGCTCGAGGCTTCAGTCAGCGTGAGGGGGTCGACTTCTTTCAAACCTTCTCCCCCACCCCGAAGATGACCACTCTTCGGGTGTTGCTACACGTTGCAGCTCAGCGTGACTACGAGCTGCACTCCCTCGACTTCTCGATAGCTTTCTTGCAGGGTAGCCTTCACGAGGCCATCTGGTTGCGCCGTCCACAGGGCTTCACTGGGTCGTTTCCTGAGGGTACCCAGTGGAGCCTACGGCGACCAGTGTACGGCCTGCGTCAGGCGCCCCATGAGTGGCACGACACACTGAGGACGATACTTGCGGCTCTTGGGTTTGCTCCTTCGACTGCTGACCCGTCGCTGTTTCTCCGCACCGACACTACTCTGCCGCCGTTCTACATCCTCGTGTACGTCGACGACTTGGTTTTTGCTACTGCTGACACTGAGGCACTGGCCCTAGTGAAGGCGGAGCTGCAGGAGAGACACACCTGCACTGACCTGGGTGAGCTGCGGAGCTATCTTGGCTTGCAGATCACTCGGGACAGACCACGGCGCACCATCACCCTCACTCAGTCACACATGGTGCACCAGGTCCTTCAGCGCTTCCGCTTCACTTGGTCCTCGCCACAGCCCACTCCTCTATCTACCGGCCACTCGCTCTCAGCTCCACCTTTAGACGAGTCCGTAGAGCCGAGTGGTCCGTACCTAGAGCTTGTGGGTTGCCTCATGTACCTGATGACGTGCACACGACCTGACCTCGCGTACCCTCTCAGCCTCCTGGCTCGCTACGTGGCACCCGGTAGACACCGAAAGGTGCACTTTGATGCTGCGAAGAGGGTACTGCGTTACTTGTGCAGCACATCGGGCATGGGGCTCGTGCTTGGAGGACGGGGTTCGGTGGTCCTCACAGGACACTCTGACGCTTCTTGGGCCGATGACCAGACGACTCAGCGTTCGTCACAGGGTTACACCTTCAGTCTTGGCTCTGGTTCTGTCTCGTGGAGGTCCACTCGTTCTTCTTCTGTGCTTCGTTCCAGCTGTGAGGCCGAGATCTACGCTGGGGCCATGGCTGGACAGGAGCTACGCTGGCTGACATACCTGCTGACCGACTTGGGGGAGCGGCCCCTGTCAAACATATGTTATAGCCTGTTTAGGATGTAGTGGGTTAGACAATAGGGGGTACAGCAATTCTAGGGTTCCCTATTTGTACCCATCTCATTCCTAGTTCATTCATTCCTCGTATTATTCTCACATGGTATAGAGCGGGTTCCCTAGTGTGACCGTTTTTTTTTTAAGGGCCCACCACTATGACTTTTTTTTCCTTACCTGCCCGAAGCGCGCTTCGCGCCTGCCCTTAGCGCCCCGTCGCGCCCTGTAACGGCCCCAGGGAGACTCAGCCTCGCACGCGCCAGAGCCGTATGAGTTGACGAAATGCACCATTTGGGATCTAGATATCAACGAAGTGCCACGTTTCGATCCACCTTGTTTCACAGCGGTTTGCCCTTGCTCCTGGTTCTGTTCCCTACACTGCTCTTGCTTCTGCTCTAGCTGTATTCCGAGAACCCGCCTGCCCACTTTCTCCAATTCCCCTTCTTCTCCCTCCCCAGCATCCTCCTTGTCGCTGCTACACTCCCTCTCCTCCTCATCGCTTTCACTCTCATTCTCCTCCTCATCACTCCCGCACTCCCTCCCCTCCTTATCACTCCCGCACTCCCTCCCCTCCTCGTCACTCCCGCACTCCCTCTCCTCCTCATCACTCGCGCTCTCTCGTTCCTCCTCATCGCTGCTATCGCCCACATGGTCCCACTTGGAGTAGTCGATGGGGCGACTAGCAGCAGCAGACGGTGCACTGGCACCAGCACCCGTGGCAGACATACAGCACGACGGCTTGCTAATACCACGAGCTGTTACTGAAACGAGCGCTGGTCTTATCACTCGGAGGAGATGTGCGAGCTGGAGGTGTTTTATGAGTCCGCTAAGAAACCACGAGCACTGGTTATATTGGGAGTAGATGTGCGAGGTGAAGCGGGACCCAGCAGCAGCGGACGCTACTGACGTGGCAGGCAAGGGTTGCTGATTGGATAATATTGACAAGCAACAAGCTGACACGCACTTCCTCACCCGCCCTGCATTGTTGCTCCGGATGGGGAAAGACTATGTGGATATGATATCGAATTGCAACACACTGGACGTGGATAGTGATGTATCAAACTCCAGCACGTTTTCCGAATTAAGTTTTACCCTAATTTGGTTGTCGCGGCTGCTTAGGCCAGACGAGTGTCTAACAACTGTCCATACAAATTAGGTATTCAGAAACCCTAAAATTAGGAACTGAATGCTGTGTGCGACTTGGCGACTGCCCTGAGTTTAGTTGGCAGCACGTCGCAACGTTATTTATTCGCTAACGGAATACTGCGAAGCTTTGCTCCCGAAATCTGATACAATAGGTAAATATGAAAACCTTACATGCATTAAAGTTTTTGTTTCATAATACAGATTAGCTCTGTTCACGAGGGTAGAAGGGTGAAAACAGTGGAACGTATTCGAGATTATGGAATTCACAGCATTGAAACAGAATTTGTTCATTTCATTGGTGAATATGGAGATCAAGCCGTGATTTCTCTACTTTTTTAGAAGGTTTGAACAAAGTAGTGTACCGCTGTGCCTTTGCTAGGATTTGGGGCATCATGAGACCTCAGAACAACTTTTCAGAATCTTCAAAAATGCCCTGATTTGTCATGGAAGTTTTCGTATGCATCCTGTAGTTTCAGGGCTTCAGCAGAAATTAATCCTAACCTGTCAGGGCAACAAAACGGATGTTGAGGGTGCGTCTTTTAGCACTTCTAGCTAGGCCTATGTATGTATTGCTTTTGTGTTGTAGTGGTTGTGGCACCACCATTGTCCTAATCCAGACCACCAGACCAGTCACCTTACCTACCACCAGCACCAGACCAAGTTTGTAAAGTTGTGTTGTACTAAAGTAATATAAAGCTACCTCCTAGCCTTCCTCCAGATCTGCTGCTAAACCCACTGTTGTTGTTGCTGCTGCTGCTGCTGCTGCTGCCATGTTTAGAATCTGCCTCTTGTCCGTCCTCGAACACTTTCTCCTTCCCCTTAACACCCACTTGCATGTGCCTCTGCTTCTCCCTTCTCCTGGTGGGCCTCCACGACTTTACCCCATTCCATGTCGTACTCAACCAGGCTCATGCACATCAAGTCACTGAGCCTGGCATCACAGAGACTGGTTCTCTGCATGACTTAATCACGTTATGGCGACTAAAGCCGTGCTCACACTCGACGGTGCTGAGCGGCAGGACAGCTACCGCTGTCCAGAGCAGACGAGGTTGGGATAGCTCTGCTCCCAGTCCTTCGTACTCGGGGACTGCCATGCAGGACAGGGACAAATGTCATTAGTTCCTTCTTGGCATGTCGCTTGTCCACACCTCCCACTTCCTCGCTATATACAAAAAGGAAACAATGCCAGGAACGGACAAAGGACAGAATGGGTAAGGCGGTATAGCTTTGCTTACCCGGGAGAATGTTAGCTCGCTAGCGCTCATGGAACAAGTCGACGAGAGTCTCGAAATTGTCCACCCGCTCCTCATCGCATGCCTCCCTGCATGGAGGGCAGGTGTCTGGCATAAACAGCCTGACACCATTCAGGTATCGAGATCACCCAACCTCGTCTGGAGGTTGCTGATCGTTGCCTTGGCGTGTGCACGGCAGACATTGAGACACGACTTCAAGTCGCCCGGAGACTTGCTGTAGCCAGACAGCGCCTCCTCGTGCTGCTGATAGCTATGTTGCCACGGCAAACCCGCCCCGTCCACACCATCCATTGTGAAGCGCTGGCCCTTGCTGACCTTGGCAAGGAAGGCCCCGAGAAGTTGATGTGGGCCGCCACCAAATTCATCTCCGCAGTCGATGTATCGCGAACGGATAGTGATCATAGTGCGGTGCAGCATCGACTGCACCGAGGTCATGTCGACCTACCACATGACACGGTACAGTGTCAGCCATGATTGTACCACAGTGCTTGAAGTGTGAGGCTTTCAATGTCAACTCACCTCTCGTTTCTGGAACTCCAGGTTGAGGTGGTTGAGAAGGATGAGCATGTCGGCGAGGTAATAAAGAAACTCATTGAACTTCAGTGAAGTCACCAAGTGCGTGATGGCATCGCCGCGGCTCAGCCAACGAACTGCGTGTAATCTCAAACTATAATCATGTAGTTTGTTTAGTTTTAGTCTATGTGTTCTACATTGTGTTGTATTTGTCATAGCCCTAGGGTTAGGGTTTTCTATATCTTCCTTGTTTCTTGTTTCCTTAGTCATTCATTATTGTGTTTAATTGGTTACCACTTTCACATAGTATAGAGCATAGGAGTTGATCCGATGGGCCCACCGCCCCGTACCCCGCCCTAGCCCGAAGCGCCTCGTCGCCCGTAGCCTCGTTGCCCGAAGCACCCCATCGCTCGTAGCGCCCCGTAGCCCGAAGCGCCCCGTCACCTTCCCGTCGCGTCCCCTCCCCGTCGCCTCCCCGTCGCGCCCCCCTCCCCGTCGCCTCCCCATCATGTCCCCTCTCCGTCCCCTCCACGTCGCCTCCCTGTCGCGTCTCCGCCACGTCGCCTTCCCGTCGCGTCCCCTTCCCGTCGCCTCCCCCTCGCGTCTCCTCTCCGTCGCGTCCCCGCCACGTTGCCTTCCCGTCGCGTCCCCTCCCCGTCGCCTCCCCCTCGCGTCTCCTCCCCGTCGTCTCCCCATCGCGTCCCCCTCTCAGTCGCCTCCCTGTTGCGTCCCCTCCCCGTCGCATTCCCGTCGCCTCCCCGTCGCGTCCCCTCCCCGTCGCCTCCCCGTCGCGTCCCCTTCCCCTCCCCATCGCGTACCCTCCACGTAGTTTCCCCGTCGCACCCCCTCCCCGTCGCCACCCCTTCCCCTCCCCGGCGCCTCCCCGTCCCCTTCCCCGTCGCCTACCCGTCCCCTTCCCCGTCGCCTACCCGTCCCCTTCCCCTCCACCCCACCCTGTACCCGCCGCCGCCCCACCCTGTACCCGCTGCCCCACCCTGTACCCGCCGCCCCATCCTGTACCCGCTGCCCCACCATGTACCCGCCGCCCCACCCTATACCCGCCGCCCCACCCTGTACCCGCCTCCCCACCCTGTACCCACTGCCCCACCCTGTACCCGCCGCCCCACCCTGTACCCGCCCCCCCACCCTGTACCCGCTGCCCACCCTGTAACCGCCGCCCCACCTGTACCCGCCCTCCCTGTACCCGCCAGCCCCACCTGCTACCCGCCACCGCCCAGTACCGCACTCAACCCCACTGAACCGCCCGGTACCGCACTCAACCTCACTCAACCGCACTCAACCGCACTTGACCTCGCTAAACACACTAGACCGCAGCTAGAAGGCCCCGTGGCCCCCAGCTAGAAGGCCTCGTGGCCCCCAGCTAGAAGGCCCCGTGCTCCCCCCCCCCTGCTAGAAGGCCCCGTGGCCCCCAAGCTAGAAGGCCCCCCCCCCCCCCCCCCCCCCCCCCCTCCCCCCCTGTACCCGCTACCAGTACCCGTACCCGACCACTCCTAGCCGCTCCCCACCACGCTCGGCCATCTCTGGCGCCTACCATGGCGTCTACTAGAGTTCTGTAGCAGCATGGCCAGCCGCAGCGACAGCAGTTGCAGCACTCCCGACAGTGGGGACCTGAAGTCTAAAGAGTGGCGGCCCCAGCAGCGGCTCAACCTGCAGTGGGCACGACGTCGGTCCCTACGGATACCGGATTCTGACTGGCCTTGGTGCTGGCACTACCTGCTGGCATCCTGACCACTCTCCGTCCAGCTGCTACCGTCGCCTCGACGACCTTCACCGTGAGCTTTTTGGTCCTAACGCGATTTCACCGCGCTGGCCTTCACGCCTTCGCTAGAGTACTGTTGCACCAGTTGAGTCGCACCTACCTAGTCTTGGACCTTTCCCGGCTGCACGAGTCGGGACTTGTGTTTCCAGTCTTGGTGCGTGTGTAGTTTCTAGCCTAGGTGGCTCTCAGAGTCTTTGTGTGGGAGCTGCAGCTACTACTAGCCTAGTACTAGCCTTTGTCGTTGACTCGGGTACGACCTCAGCGGCTGCGCCGCTTTCCTTCACCCTCGACTCTGGGGCGTCTAGCTGTTTCTTCCGTGAGTGCACCGACCTTACGCCGCTGCGCACTCCAGTCACTGTCGCCTTGGCTGACCCCTCAGCGGGACCTGTCCTTGCCCACAGCACCACCACTCTCCCGTGTCCGGCGGCTCCCTCTGGGGTCCTCACCGGTTACTACACCCCCTCGTTCTCCAGGAACTCGATATGTGTCGGGCACCTCCACGACCTCGGAGTAGTCACCACATTCCCTCCAGACGAGCCGGTTGCCTCTTGCACAGTCGGTGCCACTGGGGCGCCTCTGGCCACATTTCACAGAAAGCCAGGCTCTGGTCTGTACTCACTGGGGGTCTCACCACTCAGGTCAGGTCAGGTCATGTTAGGTTGCTGCTGTGTCGTGTGACTGCCGGTCACTCACCTACCCGTCGGTCCTCTGGCACCACCGTCTAGGTCACCTGTCCTTCTTGCGTCTCGGTAGGATGGTACGTCACCGTTTGGTCCCAGGTCTCCCAGATTCGCTCACCCCGCTTCCCCGCTCGCCTGCGCCGACGTGCACTCCTTGCGTCGAGGGTCGGCAGCGAGCTCCCTTACATACCCTGCACTTGGACGTCTGGGGCCCCTCCCCGGTCCTTGGCCTACGTCAGGAGCGCTTCTTCCTGATTGTGGTGGACGACTCTTCCCGCTACACCACGGTGTTTCCCTTGCGACCGAAGGCTGACGTCCCTACTGTCCTCGAGCCGTGGCTACTAGCAAGGGGTG